AGGCGGGAACGTCGACAGCCCCGCCCCCTCGCCCTCGCCCGCGGGCACAGCCAGGGTGGCGTTGGCGTCCTTCATCGCCACGTCTGGGGGCTCTGAATTCGCTGGCGTAGTCGTAGTCGTAGTATTCATATTCGCGCTCGCGGTCTTCGGGTCGGAGGCAGGGGCAGGAGCAGAAGTAGAGGCGGAGGTAGAAGCCGACGCGGCGTGCGCGAGGGCGGCGAGCGAGCCTTGGGGCGCGACGTCGGCCATGGCGGTGTCCGTGTCCGGTTCAGCGGCGGCAGCGTCGGGCATCGCGTGATCGATTAGGTGGCGTCGACGTCGACAGTCAAAATGACGAGAAAGCAAAAGCAGAGTAAGCACAGCAAAGCAAAGTACGAGCGGGCGGGGCCGGCGGGCGGCGGCGGGTAGTCGATGCCTGCCTGGCTCCTATATATTGAACGCGGAAGACGGATTTCGCGTTCAGAGGGGAAAGAAAAGAAAAGCGGGATCGCTCGCGCACAGCTGTCGCCGGGCGCTTTTAAAGGAGGGCTGGGTACGTGCGTGACTGACGGCGTCGGCGAGAAAAAGAAGGGTGGAGGGATCGAAGCACAGGGAACAGAACACGTAACGGAGGCGAGGCGCGGCATCCACACATCTCGGCGCGTGCAGAAGCGCGACCCCTGCTCCGCGTGCACACGGCAATTTCATTCTCTCCCCGCCCAGTATCCCGATCTCCGACGATCCATCCTCGCCATTGCGCCATGGTATGCAAGGCGTATGTAGATGCCCTCCGTGTCACACCCAGCGCGCCGCCGACCGACCTCCGAGGACCGACCTCCGATCGATGCCAAAGAAGCGCCGCGCTCCCCGGGGTCCCCGCGCCTCCTATTGGTCCGCGCCAACACAAGTCAATCCCGCTTCCGCGTGGCATCCCAAACAAACGCGCGGTTCGGTTCGGCTTGCGTGGACGACCCCCACGTGGCGTTGATCCTTCCGCAAAAGGAAAATCGCGTCTTTAAGGCGGGCTTGGCGCCAGTTCGCTCCGCCGTCGGGCCCACAACGTCAGTCAGTCAGCATTTGGGATCAGCTGCGGCGCGACGGCGGCGGCGCTCGGGCGGCGCACCCATACCGGCGTGTCCTTTAATCGCCGGATTGCCGAAGGCCATCCACACTGCCAGTGATTCCACAGTGCAGTACGCAACGATGCCCCATGCTTCAGGCGGCTTGAAAGTACTATTAGTATGACTGCAGAACAACTCCTGTTTTAATTCCGACCTCAAAACTCGCACCATCAACCACTCAACAAACTCCGAAAGTCGGTTTACATCCTATCCTATCGTGTTTTCAACTCCTCATTAGCGGGAACATACATCCATACATACATATGACTTGGATTAGGCCTCTTCGAGGCGGTAGCTGAATCTTTAGGACTCTGCAGCATTATCTCATTATTTTTACCCAGCAAAACAATAGATGCCTGGGGCGCTTAGATAAAGGCGCTCAGATCACTTGATAACAGTAAATGGGGACGGGCACAGCCGTTGATGGATGCGGCAGCTTTGTCCCTGTTTGGTTGGCAGTGCCAACCGGTTCCAACTTTCAACTGGTTATAGCTCTATATCCTCGCACATTGGTGTCCTCAACGAAAGGAAAACCCACATTCAAATAGATGTTAAAATAGAAGTACGAAGCCTTTTGGACAAAATTGGACAAATCCATGCAATGGGACATAATCCATGGAATAGTTGGATAGCCACGCACCAGAGGAGACGGTAGTCAAAGAAACGGCTACGTACTTCTGTAGGTTTGCGGTCTTACTCCAAAATCGCTCACCGGACCAAGGCAAACCATCCAAAATGTATGGAGTTATAACCTTTTTTACCCGATTTCAGTAGAATTGGATTCTGTGATGGATGGACCATTCAAACATACAATTTTTTGACCTATAAGTGGGTTTATACACATTACAAACATGTCAGACTAGCGGAATGTGTAAGAATACCTATGAATGGCTTGAACTCGTCGAACATCCTCGAAGTGTGACGAATGTCACGCCTTCGTTACGCCTCAACTGTTCAATCAACTTCAGGTGAATATGGGTTCAATTCTCGCTCTTTGCCCATATAAATTGACAAACCCACCCAGGAATACATGTACTACATATTTGAGTCCTCAAAACAGTTCTCCAACCCTAAAGATAATTTAATATATAAGAAAAGCCGCCGAGAGAAGGATTTTACTGCTGTGTGGTGGTGGAAGTAGTAAAATATGGGGAGATAACATATTAGTAGAGATATAACAATATAACAACATTTCCGGATGCTTGTAATAGTATAAGATACACCGTAGCCTTGTACATATGATATCGAATGACCGAAACCCTTTATATTATCGGAGACTGTCCACTTTCAAACATTCCAAGTTGGGGACCATATACTTATGAATCTTAGAAACTTTTATATGAGCCAGAAAAAATCCGTAGGATATGCAGGAAACAAGATATAGGAAGGAACATGTAAACTCGAAATTGATTCGAAAACAAACACCAGCAAACACGCCGGATCAATCACCGACTATGCCTGTCCCCACCTGAGTAAAGAGGAAGGTGTGATCCAGTCATAACACAAGAGCGTGCAACGCCCCTCAGGCTGGACACTACCTACCAACTAAGTACCCCACTGTAAAGTAAATCAAGACTCAAAATGAGTGTTTCCCTCTGTTTTATAAGGTAAATCGACGGCGAGACGGGGCTAATTGCTCCGACATAAAGGAAAACCATGCATCTCGAGAATTTCTTTTTGAGCCTGTATTTGGGCTGAGTGCCAATTTTACCAACCAAAATTCAACCTTCGACGCGGAACAGCCGAAACAACCGGGAATCCGGGATATGCAAGAAATGGACCCCAGGAGAAAAAAGTAATTACTGACGACTTTGGTGGAAAATTTGGCCAAATTCCCTCCGCCGTAAAGTAAATTGTAAATCAACTGGGATTTTAGATTTTGGCGGAGGTAGTTAGTACATAGTGTCTGGGGGCCTGTGTGCAGCATGGCCATCAAATCCAGTAGAGACAGGCAAATTGCAGAAGATAGCAAGGGATAATAAAGGGATGACATCCAAATTTTGTATGTGCCGGCAAGATCGAGACACAGTGATTCGTCTCAGAGACATAGATTGATATTCTGCAAGGGGACACATTATGTGTAAGGATTAAATATACACCGGGATGTGAAGAGTACTGGTAGTACTTCAAAAAGTTGAGGTATCAAAATTATCATGACCTCTGTGTACATTCCCTGCCATTGTCCAGTCCCCTGCACCCCTGGAATTGGCTGCATGTTTAACCAGGAATCTTGTATACAACCTTGCAATCTAAGATGTTGTGGTTGCCGGGGCATGTTGAGTTCTTACACCGTCGGCAGGTGCGGACTGCTCGATTTGAGATAATGCAAGGTTAGTCTGGAAAGTGAGTGCTCCCAACAGTATTTTCATGATTCAAGAGCCCGAATTTTGAGGTTACCCAACCGACCTGCCAAGTAAACAACCCAGCTGATCAGTGATCGGAACATTAACATTGGGCCCAATTCTCGCGTCAACGGATATTGCCCCGAACATCAAGCAGAAATGACTAATAGCTAAAGTAGAACCAAGTGAATCTCTTGAGTGAAACGGGGTGGCCCACAGGTAGACAAATCAGTAAGAAGGTTAACAACAAAGCATTTACACTTGAATTGCTTGTTTCCGGTTCCCTTACTTGCTTTCAATTTTTTGTGATTATGACTAATTCTCCATGACAAACAGATCAAAAATGATGCACAAAATCGATGTTCCCCTGGGTAGCCAAACCTAAAGGTTCAGCAATTACATCCCGAGAAATAGTTGGAGAGCATCAGTGGTGTATGGCACACACAATCAACTTCGTGGTGCTGTTGTCCGTATTGATAAGTAGTGATTGATTGAGTCCGGGGTTCGATTCCCCGCTGGTGCATGCGCAATTGGCACACTTTTTGTTTTGATCCTAAAAAGGATCATGAGTGCAGATCAGCTCCTGCCATCTCTAACCTCACTCAAATCCTACACTAATAAATGAAATGACGAATTCCGGAGGTTGATTTACATACTGTCATGTTTTCAACTCCTGATATATAGCAGGAATAGTACAGCCCAGAACAATACCTGAAGAGCACCAGTGGTGTATGGTACACACAATCAACTTCGTACACTTTTGTTTGATGACACGTTGTGATTGATTCTGGGGTTCGATTCCCCACTGGTGCATAATCGGATTTGTTTGTACTCTTTTTCTGAAAGTGAGAACAGCTCCTGGAATCCTGTTCCCGACCTCAAATTCCATATCATAAACTTTTGGCAATGAATAAAATTGACAAACTCTGGATCCAGCAGGAATATACATACATACATAGTACAGCCCAGAACAATACCTGGAGGGCACCGGTGGTGTATGGTATACAGTCACTTCGTTCAATGTCTCTTTGTGAGTAGTGATTGAGTCGAGTCCGGGGTTCGATTCCCCGCTGGTGCATGTGCAATTGGCACACTTTTTGTTTTTTATCTTGAAAATGATCATGAGTGCAGATCAGCTCCTGCCATCTCCAACCTCAAATCAACCAGCACATAGTAAATAACTTGACAGACTAGAAATCATGGGTGATTTACTGCCATGTTTTCAACTCCTCATTAGAGTGAATATGCAGCCCAGAACAATAGCTGGAGAGCACCAGTGGTGTACGGTACACGCAGTCATATCATAGAACCTCCATACTAATAGGAGTGATTGAGTCCAGGGTTCGATTCCCCGCTAGTGCATACTATGGTTTCCAGCAGCTTTTCTGAATCTTGCAAGTGGTGCAGAACAGCTGCCATCTCCGACCTCAAGATTCACACCATCAACCAATTGACATTGACAAGCTCCCGAAGTCACTGTCAATCTACCGCCATGTTTCCAACTCCTCATCAATGGGAATGCACACACATAGTACACCCCAAGAATGGTAGCAGGAGAGCACCGGTGGTGTATGGTACACACAATCACCTTCTAGCCTCTGTCATTTGTTGGTAGTAATGGAGTCCGGGGTTTGATTCCCCGCTGGTGCATTGATCTGGAACAGGAGTCTTTTTTTCCTCCTTTGATCCTGAAAGTCTGTTCAGAACAGGTGCTGTTTCCGACATCAAATCCCATAGTCAACCGAGGCATAAATAAATCGACAAACTCCAGAGGTCATGGCCAATTTTACCAGTATGCTTTCAACTCTAGCAGGAATACACATACATATTACAGCCTTGTAAGAGAGCTGGAGAGCACCAGTGGTGTATGGCACACACAATCACCTCGTAAAACCTCCATACTAATAGGAGTGATTGAGTCCGGGGTTCGGTTCCCTGCTGGTGCATACATAGGGTGGCTAGTACCGTGGTTTTTATTTTAAATAAAATAAAATAAAACAGGAAAGTGAGTGCAGCCATATCCGACGTCAAATCCCACACCATCAGCTAATTACAAACTCCAGAGGTCGCTGTTTTGTTTTCAACTCCTCATTAGTGGGAATGCACATACATAGTACATCCCGAGAAATAGCTGGAGAGTGCTGGTGGTGTATGGTACACACAATCACACCGTAAAACCTCCATACCAGGAGTGATTGATTCTGGGGTTCGATTCCCTGCTGGTTCCTGCATACATGGCTATTCTCATTTTTTGGAATTTGAAAATCCTGAGAGTGAATGCAGAACAGCTGCTACCGTCTCCGACCTCAAATTCCACACCATCAACTAAGGTATTGACAAACTCCGAAGGTTGATCAACTGTATGTTTTCAGCTCCTCATTAGTGTGAATGTACATAGCACAGCCCAGAATGATACCTAGAGAGCACCAGTGGTGTATGGTATGCACAATCACCTTCTAGCCTCTGTCATTTGTTGGTAGTGATGGAGTCCAGGGTTTGATTCCCCCTGGTGCATAGTTCACCTCTCGCTGAGTTTTTTGAAAATCCTGGGAGTAAATGCAGAACAGCTGCTGCCATCTCCAACCTCAAATTCCATACCATCACCTAATGTATTGACAAACTCCGAAGGTCAATCTACTGTCGTGTTTTCAACTCCTCAAGGCGTCTATCTGATGCAGCGGGAATACCATACATGCATACACAGGGAGGATAACCAAATAATCTATGCCAAGACATTCAAAAAATATGCAGAAAATATTTACAATACCTTTCAGATGTCTGTGGCTCAAATAATGCACAATACATTGAGAAGAGGCAGAAGGTATTCAAAATATATGTTGATCTAAGTATATCTTTTGAATACCTTCTAGGGCCCTGTAATTTAATCGTGTTTGTAAACCAGTGTTTATAAACGGGTTTTTAAATGGTCAGGGCGGAATGCCCGGTTTATAATTATTTCGGGAACGCCCGGGTGCTTGCGGGAGGGCAAATTTTCGGCCGAATGGGAAGCGGGGCTGGCTGTACTGAATGATGCAGATGATGCAGATGATGCTGGCGGTCTCACCGGCTCCTTTGCCTCCAAGATACTGGACCTGTGCTGCGATGGAGTCGAAATCACACTACCTTTTTTCAGGGATTTGTTGGCAGATAAACCTGTTGGCAGCGCCGATGCCATCCGGAGCCTTTCAGAATGGTCTGCAGAAGTTGCAATGGACGGTGAGAAGGGAAAGAAGGGGAAAAAAACTCCTGGCAAGACGGCTTGGGACGGGGAAGCCAATAAACTCGAATTTTAGACACTCTGTTTATAAACCGGTTTATAAACACCCTGTTTACAAACCGGTATTTAAAACATGTTTTTAATTGCCCGGGAATAACTTACAGGGCCCTATCCAGGTTGAGTCCGGGGTTCGATTCCCCGCTGGTGCATGTATTGTTGTTTTCGATGTTTTTTTTTTTTTTTTTTTGAATCCAGAAGGTCAATAAGTTACTTAGTTGGAACCGGTTTCAATCCAGCAATCCGTTCCAACCGAACTAGTGTTGAAGCTGCTGTTTCCGAACTCACCATCATCCAAGGTCCAGGGTTAACAGACTAGAAATCACGGTCAATGTTTTCAACTCCTCATTAGCAGGAATGCCATACATACATAGTACAGCCCTAGAAATAGTTGAGAGCACCAGTGGTGTATGGTGGTACACACAGTCACCTCATGAAGCCTCTCCTTCAATGAATAGTGATTGAGGCTGGGGTTCGATTCCCCGCTGGTGCATACCAGGTTTTCCAGTTTTTTTTTAAGAATCCTGAAAGTGAGTGCATAACAGCTGAGGCTGTTGCCATTTCCGACCTCAAACCCCATAGTCAACCAAGGCATAAATAAATTGACATTGACAAACTAGAGGTCACCGTCAATCCACCACTGGCAGCATGTGTTCAACTCATTAGAGTGAATGCACATACATAGTACAGCCCTAGAAATAGTTGAAGAGCACTGGTGGTGTATGGTACACACAGTCATCTTGTAAAACCTCCATACCAGGAGTGATTGAGTACGAGGTTCGATTCCCCGCTGGTGCATGCACAATTGGCACACTTTTTGTTTTGATCCTGAAAATGATCATGAGTGCAGAACAGCATCTGCTATCTCCGACCTCACTTAAATCCCATACCGTTCGGCTAATTGACAAACTCCAGAGGTCGCTGTTTTGTTTTCAACTCCCTGTTAGCAGGAACATACATCCATAGCACAGCCCTAGAATGATAGAAGGAGATATGACATTTTTTTTCGTTGTTTATTATTCGGTCTAAAGCCGAGGTTGAAGACCATGGATTTGATGGTGGTCGTGGTTGACAACCGTGGTTTTGTGCCGAGTTCGTGGTTTAAGAACGGGGTTTCCGAACATTTCTTTGCTTCTAGTGTGTGATTTTGGGTGTTCAATGTAGCCTTAAGATGTTGAAAGTGCCTCTGGTGATCAGCACCCAAGGTTGATACAAATTTCAACGGCCAAAACTGGACTGCGCCGAAGCCGGATCAGTTGGAGTTGATCCGGGACCCTGCCGGGTAACTTTTTTTGACTTGTAGGGTCCCACTCAGTCCCACTCGTTCAAGTGGGATGACAGAAGGATAATAATGAGGGGTAGGCAGCTCTAATACACTTCACCTGCTCTCACACCTATTCTGGCGCTGTAATCCGGAGTTAGTGTAATATTACATTGTGCATAAAATCCCCGCCGGAATTGTGTTCACAGTCGGACTGGGCTCCTTTATACATTCAATTTACCTATTGGAATGAAATAGTAACTTATCTGGCTGTAGTATACTCATCTCACGGCGAAGTGGAATGGAATTTGGAACGGCATCAAACCGTGAGAGTTCGGTCGATCTCGGCCGGCAAACAGAATACCAAGGGTCGTGGATTCAGAGATCTTGTGCAGATGATATTCAGCAAAAAAATCCTTTTATAGATGGGTCAAGGTTTCCAATCCACTCACCACGATCCATAACCAAGAAGCATACCAAAAACCACGACTACGGACCACGATGCCCTAAAATAACCACAACCTCGGCACACAACCACATTGCAATAATAAACAACGAAAAAAACTTTTATAAGGAGAGCATCAGTGGTGTATGGTACACACAGTCACTTTGTAGATGGATTCTTTGTGAACAGTGATTGAGTCCGGGGTTCGATGCCCCGCTGGTGCATTAAGCTGAAGCTCTTTGATTTTCTCTCTCTTTTACTCTCATGTTTTCAACTCCTCATTAGTGGGAATGCACATACATACATATATAGCCCTAGAATGATAGCTAGAGAGCACCGGTGGTGTATGGTACACGCAGTCACCTCGTGTGCCTTCCCTTTATGAGCAGTGGTTGAGTCCGGGGTTCGATTCCCCGCTGGTGCATTGATCTGGAACAGGAGTCTTTTTTTCCTCCTTTGATCCTGAAAGTCTGTTCAGACACCAGGAGGATAACTAGATAACCTATGCCAAAACATTGGAAAGATATGGAGAAAATATTTACAATAACTTTCGGATGTTTGTGGCCTCAAACATGCAGAAGGTATTCAAAAGATATGCTTAGATCAACATATATTTTGAATACCTTCTGCCTCTTCTCAATGCATTGTGCATTATTTGAGCCACAGACATCTGAAAGGTATTGTAAATATTTTCTGTGTATTTTTTGAATGTTTTGGCGTAGATTATTTGGTTATCCTCCCTGTGAGAACAGTTCAGAACATTGAACAGGTGCTGTTTCCGACATCAAACCCTATAGGGAGAGCACCGGTGGTGTATGGTACACACAGTCATCTCATAAAACTGCCAGATGGTACTGGGTAGTGACTGAGTCTGGGGTTCGATTCCCCGCTGGTGCATAGTATTTGTCCAGAGTTTTTTTTTAAAAAAATCCTAAAAGCAGTGCAGAACAGAAGCCGCAGCCATCTCCAGCCTCAATTTCACACTGGCAACCAACACATAGTAAATAAATTGACATTGACAAACTCCAGAAATCACAATCAATTTACTGCCATGTTTTCATCTCCTGATCCAGCAGGAAGTACAGCCCTAGAACAATATCTAAAGAGAACCAGTGGTGTATGGTACACACAGTCACTTCGTAGATGGATTCTTTGTGAACAGTGATTGAGTCTGGGGTTCAATTCCCCGCTGGTGCATGATGGGCATTTTGAATCCTTTTTTTTTTGATCCCGAACATGAATGCAGAACCTACTGTTTCCGACCTCAAATTCCACACCATCAACCAATGCATAAATAAATTGACAGACTCCAGAGGTTGATTTATATACTGTCATATTTTCAACTCCTGATCCAGCAGGAGTACTACAGCCCAGAACAATAGCTGGAGAGCATCAGTGGTGTATGGTACATGCAGTCACCTTGTACAACATTCGTCCATTCAGGGGTAGTGACTGAGTCCGGGGTTCGATTCCCCTGGTGCATATATGATGTCTCTGTAAATTTTTTAAAAAAAGGCGAGTGCAGCCATCTCCAACCTCAATTTACACACCGTCAGACAATTGACAACTGGAGGTTGATTTACATATTGTTGTGTTTTCAACTCTATCCAATCCAACGGGAATACCATACATGCATAGTACACCCCGAGAATAGTAGCTGAAGAGCACCAGTGGTGTATGGTACACGCAGTCATATCATAGAACCTCCATACTAATAGGAGTGACTGAGTCTGGGGTTCGATTCCCCGCTGGTGCATGTAAGCTTTCTGTAGTTTCTTTTTTAAAAGAATCCTGAAAGTGAATGTGAATGCGGAAGAGCTATTTCCGCACCATGGCCACCCAATTCACAAACTCCGCAGATCACGATCAATTTTATCGCCATGTTTTCAACTCCTGATCCAGCAGGAATAGTACAGCCCAGAATGGGAGCTGGAGAGCATCAGTGGTGTATGGTACACGCAGTCACCTTGTAGAGCATTCCTTTGTGAACAGTGATTGAGTCCAGGGTTCGATTCCCCGCTGGTGCATAGGGTGGCTAGTACCGTGTTTTTTTTTTAAAAAAAAAACAAAAAAATAAAAAAAAAACAGGAAAGTGAGTGCAGTCATCTCCAACCTCACTCAAATTCCACATCATCTACCAGTTGACAAACTCCAGAGGTTGATTTTGTGTCATGTTTTTAACTCCTCCTTCTATCTGATCCAGCGGGATATACATACATACATAGTACACCGCTTGAGTGATACCTAGAGAGCACCAGTGGTGTATGGTATGCACAATCACCTTCTAGCCTCTGTCATTTGTTGGTAGTGATGGAGTCCGGGGTTTGATTCCCCGTTGGTGCATAGGTAGGGTTCCTGTGCTAGTTTTTTGAAAATCCTGGGAGGGCTGCTGCCATCTCCGACCTCAAACCCACACCATCAACCAATTGACGAATTCCGGAGGTTGATTTATATACTGCCATGTTTTCAACTCTTGATTAGAGTGAATATTCTACAGCCCAGAATGGTACCTGGAGACCATTGGTGGTGTATGGCACACACACAGTCACCTTGTAAAGCCTTTCCATTTAATAAATAGTGATTGAGTCCGGGGTTTGATTCCCCGCTGGTGCATTACCCTGCAACTTTCTTTTTGATCCAGAAAGGGCTGCTGCCATCTCCGACCTCAAATTCCACACTGTCAACCAATTGACAAACCCCAGACTGTCGCGTTTTGAACCACTCCAAATGCTATCTGATCCAGCAGGAATGTACATATTATAGCCCTAGAAGTTGGAGAGCACTGGTGGTGTGTGGTACATGCAGTCACCTTGTGTGCCTTCCCTTTATGAGCAGTGATTGAGTCCGGGGTTCGATTCCCGGATGGTGCATGGTTCCTCTCCCTGTGTTTTTGAAAATCCTGCAGAACAGCTGCTGCCATCTCCGACCTCACACCATCAACCAAGATCCAAGGCATACATAGATTGTCAAACTCCGGAAGTCAATTTGCATACTGTCATGTTTTCACCTCTATCTGACCAGCGGGAATGCCATACATACATAGTACATCCCTAAGAAACAGTTGGAGAGCACCGGTGGTGTATGGTACACACAGTCACTTTGTATGTTATGTTCGTTTAGTGAATAGTGATTGAGTCCGGGGTTCGATTCCCTGCTGGTGCATTGATCTGGACCAGGAGTCTTTTTTTCCTCCTTTGATCTTGAAAGTCTGTTCAGAACAGGTGCTGTTTCCGACATCAAACCCCATAGTCAACCAAGGCATAAATAAATTGACATTGACAAACTAGAAATCACGGTCAATCTACCAGCATGATGTTTTCAACTCCTCATTAGAGTACATGTATATAGTACAGCCCAGAATGGTGCCTGGAGCACTGGTGGTGTATGGTACACACAATCACTTCGTAGAATTGCCACCCCTTGGTTGTGATTGAGTCTGGGGTTCAATTCCCTGCTGGTGCATATATTATCATTTTGGATGTTTTTTTTTTGAATCCGGAACATGAGTGCAGCCATCTCCGACCTCAAATCCCACACCATCAACCAATTGACAACCGGAGGTTGATTTATATATTGTCTTGTTTTTCAACTCTATCTGATCCCAGGAATGCCATACATACATAGTACATCCCTAACAAACAGTTGGAGAGCACCGACGGTGTACGGTACACGCAGTCAACTTCGTATGTTCATTTAGTGAATAGTGATTGAGTCCGGGGTTCGATTCCCCGCTGGTGCATACTTGGTTATTTCCACCTTTTTTTTTCGATCCGGAAGGTGAGTAGTTGGAACCGGTTTCAATCCAGGAATCCAACCGAACTAGTGTTTTTCCGACAGCTGCTGCTGTTTCCGAATTCACCATCAACCAAGGTCCAGGTTGACAGACTAGAAATCACGGTCAATCTACCACTGGCAGCATGTGTACAACTCCTCATTGAAGAGCGGGAAAGTACATACATAGTATACAGCCCTGTAAGAGAGCTGGAGAGCACCGGTGGTGTATGGTACACACAATCAACTTCGTACACTTTCGTTTGATGACACGTTGTGATTGAAGTCTGGGGTTCGATTACCCTTGGTGCATTCATACGTTGTCGTTTTTTTTTTTCAAAAAAAATCCTGAAAGTAAGTGCAGAACAGGTGCTGCCATCGGCGAGCTCAAACCCCATACCATCAACCAGGGCATAGTAAATAAATTTACAAACTCCAGAGGTCACACTCAGTTTACTGTTTGTTTTCAACTCTATCTGATAAAGCGGGAATGCCATACATACACACATACATAGGTATGTCATTTTTTTTCGTTGTTTATTATTCGGTCTAAAGCCGAGGTTGAAGACCATGGATTTGATGGTGGTCGTGGTTGACAACCGTGGTTTTGTGCCGGGTTCGTGGTTTAAGAACGGGGTTTCCGAACATTTCTTTGCTTCTAGTGTGTGATTTTGGGCGTTCAATGTAGCCTTAAGATGTTGAAAGTGCCTCTGGTGACCAGCACCCAAGGTTGACGCAAATTTCAACGGCCAAAAGTGGACTGCACCGAAGCTGGATCAGTTGAAGTTGATCCGGGACTCTGCCGGGTAACTTTTTTTGACTTGTAGGGTCCCACTCGTTCAAGTGGGAGGACACAAGGATAATAATGAGGGGTAGGCAGCTCTAATACAAACTTCACCTGTTCTCACACCTATTCTGGCGCTGTAATCCGGAGTTAGTGTAATATTACATTGTGCATAAAATCCCCACCGGAATTGTGTTCACAGTCGGACTGGGCTCCTTTATACATTCAATTTACCTATTGGAATGAAATAGTAACTTATCTGGCTGTAGTATACTCATCTTACGGCAAAGTGGAATGGAATTTGGAACGGCATCAAACCGTGAGAGTTCGGCCGATCTCGGCCGGCAAACAGAATACCATGGGTTGTGGATTCAGAGATCTTGTGCAGATAATATTCATCAAAAAATCCTTTTATAGATATGGGTCAAGGTTTCCAATTCACTTACCACGATCCATAACCAAGAAGCATATCAAAAACTACGACTACGGACCACGATGCCCTAAAATAACCACAACCTCGGCACACAACCACATTGCAATAATAAACAACGAAAAAAACTTTTATACATAGGCCACCCTAGAATGGTAGTTTATAGAATGGTAGTTAGAGCACCGGTGGTGTATGGTACACACAGTCACCTGGTAAAATCTCCACACTAGGAGTGATTCATTCCGGGGTTCGATTCCCCGCTCACAGGGGGGATAACCAAATAATCCATGCCATAACATTGGTAGAATATGCAGAAAATATTTACAATAACTTTCAGATGTTTGTGGCCTCAAACAGGCAGAAGGTATCTAAAAGATATGCTTAGATCAGCATATCTTTTGAATACCTTCTGCGTCTTTTGAATGCATTGTGGATTTTTCGAGCCACAGACACATGAAAGATATTGTAAATGTATTTTCCATATTTTTTGTTGTCTTGGCATGGATTACTTTGTTATCCTCCCTGTGGCTGGTGCATATTGTGGCCAGTACTGTGCTTTTTTTTAAAAATAAAAATAAAAACAGGAAAGTGAGTGTAGCCATCTCCAACCTCACTCAAATTCCACACCATCAACCAATGCCTAGTAAATAAATCGACAAACTCCAGAGGTTACTCTCCCCAAGAATACTTGGAGAAACGAGGACTTCTTTTTCTGTGGCTCTAATTTTTTTTTTCCAAAGGCCAGCAATTAAACTTCTTTCTAGATCTTCTCTCTTCTGGCTGGACCCTACCCTTACCTGGAGACGAAGGGTACTTTTATATGTAACTCACCAAAATTGACGGCACGCAGGTGTGGGTTAGGTATTTTCATTATATCTTCAACAAGCACCCATAGTGCATGCATATGGCACCTCAGCGCTCAGCACCTGCTCTCTCGGACCCGGACTCGCAGTTAGAGTCAGTTCGGCAGAGCGGGGTTCGACTCCCCAGGGTGCATCGAGAGGATCTGATTCGTTTTTGGGTGACGCCCCTCCCCTTTTCCCATCCCATCGCGTCAAACCCCCTCTTGTCTATTCCCCACTTTATCAGGCTCATGAACGTTTCCGCCCACACGAAATTCCCAATTTTACATTAGTTACAAAGGAATTTTCAACACAGTGAATATTTTTTTGCAAGGCCCAGAGGTACCCGGACTGCCTGCCTTATGCCTACCTCAGAAGTAGGCTCGTAGGTCAACCGATATCTGCTTTATAGAGCCAGCATCCATAGTACATAGCACCCGCTGTGTCTGGCACTACTAATTCACAGCCACGAGGTGGGGTTCGATTCCCCGGAGTGCATACGGTATTGCCTTTCCTTTTTTTCTTCTTTTTCTTGTTCCTGATGTATGCAGTCCCCTTTTCCCCTTTTCAAAGCGGTAATGTAACTTCTTAAGGCCCTCCGGGCATGTCCTGGTACCTCCTGCCAGAACCAGGTTGCTTAACGAGCCAAACAACCCAAGGAAAAAGTAATGACTGCGTGTACAACTGTGTTGTTGCAAAGACATCAGTAAGTCAGGTTTCCAGTTTGTAACGTTCAAGCTGTGCCAGGATGTCAAAGTAGGACCCCTGAGAATACCGCAACAAGGTAGGATTCAACAGTCCGGACAAAAAAAATTGAAAATTGATCCGAGCTGTGATACTAGTCCGGACAAAATTGGTCCGGACCCTCCCGACCTCGGATTCTTAGTCCGGACAGAAAACTTTGGGCGCAGGTAGGTTGGATACGGAGTCCGGACAAAATTTCTGATGGCTATTGTTCGACTTGAGTCAACTTGATATTTATATATTACCTGCCTTGCAATTAAAACCACTACGCGATCACGGGCCAAGTGAGTGGCCCAGAAATCCATTGTCTGTCTTGATCCCGTTATTAGCGCGAGGGTATGTGGGCCACCAAGTGGCACAGAATATTATTCATTTTCCAAACCACCTTTAATCTCACTCATATAAATCATATGATGGCAGAAGTATCAGGGAAGATGGCAATCCTGTTTACCAGATGCTGCGCCGAGCATTCAGAGCTGGTGCAGATGGTCACAAGCTTGAATACTGTTCAAAAGAGGGGGAAGGGTAATATTAATCTACTTGACATCAAGGAGGATGCTGGTGTTGATCTAGCATTGTAGACGAGCCTTAGGAATTTTGCCGATTTTTTGGGGGAATTTATAGGATTTTTTGCAATTTTTTTGACCTTTGAGGTGTAGTCCAGACAAAAAATCCGAAATTTTCAATGGTGTGAGGTACAGTCCGGACAAAATTTTTGACCTCGTTCACTTGCATAGTCCGGACAAAAATTCCAAAATACGGAATCGGGAATCCTACCTTGTTGCGGTATTCTCAGGGTTCCTGTCAAAGTGCTTATTTGTGTTACATTGAAGTGATTGAACAGGGTCAGAAGGCGGATAATTCTAATCAGCAACCCCCGTACTTTGTTGTACGGGAATGGCCGCTATTCAACCCTCATGTAAAGTTAGAATGCCTTCGGATCACAGTTGCCGGTCTCTTTCAGTGTTGCGGCCGGCGGTAATAGTAGACACTAGTAGGGGCCCACCACCCACATAATTATTTCCCTATACAGCAATAAACTTGTCTTATCCATGCTATAGTTTTCACCCGTCCAAGTAGATGAATTCAATCCGGTCTAATACGAGCTCTGGAGTAATTGTCTAAACAACCTATGCTGGTCGGGTCAAATATCTCAAGCCCGATCTTACCTCCAGCTTGGGCCGAACTTAGTTGGTATCTTTTTCTGTTAGTTAGGCTGAGACATTCCTCACATTGAAAGTAAATCTCCTGTTTGATCCATCATGCACTCCATGTCACCTCAAGGAATTTTGAACCATCAGAAATCAACTTTTGAACCTGTATTTCCTGATTCGGACCTTCATCAAAGGAACAATGTTCTCTATACTACATACTGTAAACTGCTGCAAAGAAAAGTATTTGAAAGTGATTCCTGGTACACCAACAGAGACCACCACTGACGGCGGGCGGAACACGGCATCACTACAGATCACAGTGGGGTATCAATTCCCATCGGCAATATTAACCGAGAGTTACGTGGGGGGTTGCTGGTAGGTAGGTAGGTAGGTAGCATTACACGGCACGGTCTGAATAACGAACGCCGGTTTCCAGGGATTATCCCGGTGTACAAAGCAAGTAAAATTACACCATCGCCCCTGGACCTCTCTCCGCCATCTAAGCCCCAGTCGCAGACCCCATGAGTTTCCCCATGCCCCACGGTAGACCCCAGACAACGAAAAGAGGCAACGAAGATGACCTAGAATATTTAGCTTCAGATCAGACATTCCTTCTACTTGGACGGTACACGGGGACAGCATAAAATTCTTCAAGGACTTCATACACAAATTTTGCAACCAGAACAATAGTTGAGCGCTCATAAATCATGGCCTTCAAGAACTCTACGCTTGTGAGT